ACTCGTAATGTGTGGCGCTACGCAGCTGCTACGACTCCCTGTAGTCACTACGACTCCTTGTAGCGTGTAGCTCTACACGGCTACTATGACACAGCTACTACAACTTTCCCTGTGGCATGTAGCGCTACACGGCTACCACGACTCCTACACGGCCACTATGACTCCCTGCAGCGTGACACAGCTATCATTCCCTGTGATGTAATATCAATCAAGCATAGTTGATATAAGAATACACGGCTCGTCTCCAAATGCGGCCCATCCAGAAAAAGCAAACACGTTTGTTGGTTTCCTTTCGGTTTCCCTTTGCCAGCCAACTAAGGGGGGGCCTAGAAAAAGGAAATAGGCCCACATCTGAATGTGTGGGTGTTTTTCGAGGGTACTCCTTTTTGGCTTGGTCTTAAAGGGGAATTCAACGAGCCACCCACATATCAATCGTGGGTTGTCCTCCGTAGCCCTAGAAAAACCCAACCAAAAAGGAGCCACCAACTCCAAAAAGAAAGCACCACCCCCTCATCCAAGCCGTGGTTTTCCTTCCATTTCTTTTTGAAGAAACACATTTTCTTGTTGAAGAAACAACAACCCCTCAAAAAATGGATACCAACCCCCCAACCCCCCAAAACCTTGAGACAACAGCCACCACAGGTACCAACTCCTCAAAAACACAGAAGGGCCCCTCATGGGGGGTGGGTTTTTTGACACACAGGGATTTAGCATATATATATATGGTCCCGTGTTCCGTGTTGCTACCCCCCCCCCCCCATATGGTATGGTCCCCCAGGACCCCCCTCCCTGGCCCGAGACCCCGAGCCCCCGGATCCTGGCACCTACGGTCCCACCCCCACCCCGACCCCCTGAACTCGCACCCCGACACCCCGGCACCCCCACCCCCAGGACAAGCCAACCCGCAACCAACCATAAACCAACCCTAAACTAACCCCACCCTAAACCAAACCCTAAACCGTAGACCTCTAAACCTAAACCAACCCTAAATCAACATAAACCAACCCTAAACTAACCCTAAACCAACTCTAAACCAACCCTAAACTAACCCCAAACACACCCTAAACCAATCCCTAAACAATAAACCCTAAACCTACTGAAGCGGAACTCATGTGTGTCTGCAAAAGCCTTCCAAAATTACGGGCCGATTTCGGGACCCGCTGCAGAGCTGGCTTATGCTGTGACAGTTAGCGTCTCAGACTGTTTCGTCGCAAAGTGTTCTCCCTTGAAACCCCTCAAAAGGTCGGGGCGTTTTTCAGGGGAAGCAAGGCCCAGGATGTGTGGTTTGCGGAGTTTGACTACAGGCTGCCGGCTTGTGTGAGCGCCAGTTCGGTCTGGCAGTGGCAGGCTCCAGGAACCTCGCGCAGTGACCGCTATGGCTGAGACTGATGCTGCAGCTTCGCAGCGTTCCCCAGCGCCTGTGGCCAATGCACCTCTGCGCCCCCGTTTGTCAGCGCTGGAGTTGCTGAAAGAGAGGCGCAATAAGCTAGCCACGGAAAAGCGGGCGCTTGCCAAGCAAGTTCGAAGAGAGCGCGAAGCTGCGGAAAGTTTTGCAAAAAATGACGGAGTCGGACTTGCGGGAGTGCCTGGAGATTAAGAAGAAGCAGGCGGCTTGAGCTCGGTCTGCGCAAGCGTGTTTTCCAGCCTTTCTTGTTGCCAACGCTGCCAGAGTGCGCAGCTCTGGCGGCGGCGTGACAATGCTTCTTGTTGCCGGCGTTGGCAGACAGCGCAGCGCTTTGGGCTTTTGTTTTCCATGAAGCTTTCTTGTTGCCGACGCTGCCAGAGCGTGCAGTGCTGGCGGCTTGACAGCCCCGATTTGAAAAATGGGATGGGCCGAGCGCAAGCAGTGTTGCGATGGTGTTTAAAGGCTGGCAACGCTCAGGCCGAGCGAATGCGACTCGGGTTTGCGCGCTTGAGTTGTTTATTTCTTTGCACATTCCTGCGCCGCTTCGTGTTTTGCGTGGACCCTGAGGCTTCGGAAAGGGTAAGGCTTTTTTTTTGTTGCTTTGGGTTGTGAATAAGCAGCTTCGTTCAGTCCCCCGTCGGGTTTCTTTTTGGAAGGGCTTAGCTTTTGGTAACGGAACCGATGTTTGAGTTCTCGAGATCGGCTCGCAGACAAGTGGAGTTTGAGACACAGACAGGTGGATAAGGCTCTCAATGCAAAGCTTGTTGAGCAGTCATAAGCCCCAAGCCACTCGAAAACCATGCTTGAATTCACACCACCGTGTTCACAGTCGTAAGCTCGTGAGTGTGGAGGGTGATTTTGTTGTCGAGTTCATGTGTTTGGACGGAGGTCGATTGCCTTCATTTTGTATATACATAGCCTTATAGATTTCGGGTCTCTATATGAGAAATACAATTCAAATACATGAAGTGGAATTTGGAGAGCTTTGAGTGATTTCATTTTTGCATGGAATTGAAGATCTAGGGTGGAGCCTTCAGTTTTTGGGCGGGACTCACCAGGGACTTCCAGCACACTTGACTGAACTGGAACAGACTGGCAGCTGCCAGCTCCAGCTTGTAAGCTCCAGACTGGCAGCAGCTGCCAGCTCCAGACTGCGAGCTCCAGACTGGCAGGTGCCAGCTCCAGACTGTCAGCGCCAGACTGGCAACTAGCTGTGCCAGCTCCAGACTGGCAGCTCCAGACCTCCAGACTGGCAGGCGCCAGCTCCAGACTTCGAGCTCCCAGACTGGCAGGTGCTGGCAGCTGCCAGCTCCAGACTGGCAGCTCTAGACTGCCAGCTTCAGACTGGCACCTCCCATCATTGCGGTCGAGTGGTTGCGTGCCGAAAAATTTTCCGGCCTGCGGCCGCCCAATTCCAATTCCAAGACGCGGCCTCTTCGGCCTTGCACTTCCCACCATTGCGGTCGAGCGGCGGGTGCCGATAAATTTCCGGCGTGCGGCCGGCCAGTTCCAGTTCCAAGACGCGACCTCTTCGGTCTTGTGCTTCCCATCATTGCGGTCGAGTAGTGAGCGCTGGCCAGCTAAGACTGTCCTTCCCGCCCACCACTCGCCCCTTCTTGAAAGGACCTCGCTCTCAGTGCATGTATTTACAAGCCACCTACCAGGGACTTCCAATACAATTGGTTCCATCAGACATCAGGTTCTCGTTGAGAAACAGATCCAAGGCTTTGGAGACTGCTACCATGGTGGGTATCTCAGCGATTCATTCCAGGTGACCTCTGATGGCTCCTGGCGCGCTCCAGGCGGTTGCTTGTTCTCTTGTTCTCAGTTTGGATTCTGCGACGAAGCTTGCTTCTTCTCGCTTGGAATATGCGACACAGCTTTCTTTTTCTCAGTTTGGGTTATGCGACGAGGCTTGCTCGTTGTCAGTTTGGGATTTGCGACAAAGCTTGCTTGTTCTCAGTTTGGGCATGCGACCGAGCTTGCTTGTTCTCGGTTTGGGATATGCGACACAGCTTTCTTTTTCTCAGTTTGGGTTATGCGACGAGGCTTGCTCGTTGTCAGTTTGGGATTTGCGACAAAGCTTGCTTGTTCTCAGTTTGGGCATGCGACCGAGCTTGCTTGTTCTCGGTTTGGGATATGCGACACAGCTTTCTTTTTCTCAGTTTGGGTTATGCGACGAGGCTTGCTCGTTGTCAGTTTGGGATTTGCGACAAAGCTTGCTTGTTCTCAGTTTGGGCATGCGACGAGCTTGCTTGTTCTCGGTTTGGGATATGCGGCTTTCTTTTTCTCAGTTTGGGTTATGCGACGAGGCTTGCTCGTTCTCAGTTTGGGATTTGCGACAAAGCTTGCTTGTTCTCAGTTTGGGCATGCGAGCAAGCTTGCTTGTTCTCGGTTTGGGATATGCGACGAGGCTTGCTCGTTCTCAGTTTGGGATTTGCGACAAGCTTGCTTGTTGTCAGTTTCGGCATGCGAGCAAGCTTGCTTGTTCTCTCGAGGCTTTGGGATATGCGGCATGCGAGTGCTCGTTCGCAGTTTGGGATTTGCGACCAAGCTTGCTTGTTGTCAGTTTCGGCATGCGAGCAAGCTTGCTTGTTCTCGGTTTGGGATATGCGACGAGGCTTGCTCGTTCTCAGTTTGGGATTTGCGACCAAGCTTGCTTGTTGTCAGTTTCGGCATGCGAGCAAGCTTGCTTGTTCTCGGTTTGGGATATGCGACGAGGCTTGCTCGTTCTCAGTTTGGGATTTGCGACCAAGCTTGCTTGTTGTCAGTTTCGGCATGCGAGCAAGCTTGCTTGTTCTCGGTTTGGGATATGCGACGAGGCTTGCTCGTTCTCAGTTTGGGATTTGCGACCAAGCTTGCTTGTTCTCAGTTTGGAGTCTAGCTTGATTCGTCTCGTTTGGGATATGCGACACAGCTTGCTTGTTCTCAGCGACAAGGTTTGCTGGTTCTCTTTCACTGCTGCAAGTAAACCTCACGCGGAGCGTGGCCTGACATCTCCAGTTTTGCTACGTTTTCCTGACATCCTGCGCATCACTGCTTCTATGTACAGCCATTTTTCAGCTGACTGCGCAAAGTGCATTCGAGCAGACACATTTCTGGGAAACATGTCCTTTTCGTTTTTCCCCAGGTATGCGCCGCCAAAAAGCCAGCCCCAACCAACCATACCCCTCAAAACAAAATGCCACCACCATACTTCTCGTGTTGTTCGCTTGTGGTGTTTTTTGCCTTTTTGCCTTTGGGTCTCGCATGTGTTTGCTCGTTGTGCTTTTTGAGCCTTTTGGCGTTTGGCTCAAGGCATGTTGCCTCTGTCTGTGCCAGGAAGGAGTTGCAGAACGCAGTTCTTGGATACTAGGCATGTTGGTCGCAATTGCGCAGCCATCTGGCTGCTGGTCAAGGCCGCTTGGTGTGGCCCAAAAACACGTGTGCAGCTTTGAGGCCCTGTCGGGGGTCGCAATTTCCAAAGCCGGGAGGCCCGTAAGAAAACTGACACACACGTCGCATGGCTTGCGTAGTTTCCGCAACTTGTTGGTGGGAAGCAGCCCCAGCCACTTGCGGATAGTTTGCGGCCCAAGCTTCCAGGATTCCAGACACAATGGCCCTTGCTCATGTCAAGCGGCGCCGTTTGCTGGGGAAGCAAAGCGTGCCGGACGCAGACCCCGTGCCTGGTGTGAACACAAGTGAGACACGGAATGCCGTGATCACTTTTGTCCGGGATGGTTGGGTCGCGCAGCAGATGCAGAACAGTGGCTTGTCTGGTTTGGAGCCTTCTTCAAAGGCTCGGTGCTTGTCTGGGTTGTGGCCGCAGTTGCCAGTCCATTTGCCACGCGCCGCGCTTTCAGTCCAGGGGCTTTGGGCTGTGGCCACTGGGACCATGTTCCGTTATTCGGGCTTGTGGAGCAAAATCGAGGAGGTTTATCGCAGACCCTGCAATCTGGGCGCGTTTCTGCTGTAGGCGATGTTTCTGCTGCCTTGAGGGCACATGCAACGACGCAGCAAATCTGGGACGGCTTTCAGTCCTTTGGCCACAGCCTGAAGCAGCGGTTTGGGCTGGAGCGGCTAACGCTTGCCATGGAGCTTCACACCCAAGTTTCCATGGAGGCTGGCTATCCCAGTGTGCATTTGCACCTCATGTTTGACTCCAGAAAATCGGTGAGTTTGAGCCGTGAGGCCTTGCTCTTCATGTCGTGTGTGCCCTATATCTCAACTGACGCGCCTCGTGCGCGTGGCAAGGCGTGTCGCCAGGCATTTAATCAAGGGTATTATTATTTGCAGGCGCCAAAGATCGGCAGTATTTTCAGCTACACGACCTGCGCAGCTTTCGAGGTTTTCGCCGTGTCTTTTGAGTGGGTGACGGCTCTTTGGGCGACGAACAAGATCACTGCTCGATCTGCAGAGGATCAGTTTGTGCGCGCGAAGAAGCACATCAAAGCCTACCTGGACAACGTGAAAGCTTGGGAGAGCAGCCAGAAGCAGCAGCGCGTTGCGGAGATGAAGGCGGCAGCTGCTACTGCGTTGCTTCCCTTGCGCAAAGAGACTGTCCGTCTGCAGCAAGTCGATAGCGAGTTTCTCCCTCAGTTTCAGAGGCCGATGTTTCGCCGGAAGTTTTTGGTCTTGGACGGGCCATCGCGGCTTGGGAAAACCGTGTTTGCCAACAGCCTTGCAGGCGCGGAAAAGACCTTGGAGGCCAACTGCGCCAATACGACGGATCCTGATCTGCGAGATTTTGACCCACTGGCATCGCGCAATTGTCTTTGACGAAGCCACGCCCCAGCTTATTCTGAAGCATAAGAAGCTGTTCCAGGGAGGTCTTGAGGAGGTGACGATGGGCAATTCAGCAACGAACTGCTATTCTTACACTGTCTCAACCATGGAGTTTTGCTTGTGTGCACCTCGAACACATGGGCGCGAGATGTTTCCCGTTTAGACGACGCTGACAGACAATGGGTCGAGCAAAATCAGATTCTGGTCCAATGTGACCGCCTGCTGTATGTGCCTTAAGCGCCAAAGACACGAAAAAGTCGTGCCTCGAGTGTGCAGTGCTCAAAAAGCTTACTTTGATTAAGAGGCCACAGGGGCATGCGAACTACAGGTCCGACCGAGGCGCCAAAGGAAGCGAAGGTAGCGACGCGCAATCCGATATTTTTCGGAGGCGGCCCGGAGTCTGCTGAGGGTCATCTGTGTGAATTCTACACCCATACTAGAATGCTGTTTATTCTTGGCTGCGTCCAAGCTGTTTCGCGTTTTGCTGCATTGGCTCCACTTGCAGGGCGCGGCCCAGTGTGTGGTTGCGCCTTAGCGCCACCGTGAGAGATCACAGTGGGAGGCGAATGCGCCGTTCGAGGATGTCACGCAGTCTTGCCCTTATGCCGGCCAGTTGCGGTTGGCGCGGGGTGGCGGGCAGCAGCGCTTTTTCTGGGCCACACTTATTTGGGCCTCTGAGGCTGAGGGGCGCTTAGCCGGCTTGAACTCCAAGTGGAGGCGATGGTGTTTGCGGAGCCTCTTGCAAAGCCAGGAGGGATGGGGCCTTACACAGCAGCTTTCGCTCACTCACTCACTTCTTGTCTTCTGACGCATCAAGTTTGGTGACCTTGAGAGCCTCCATGGACTGGGCTGAGGGGCAAGGCGAAGCCCGCAGATGCCAGGCAGCTTGGTTTTGGCTTTTGCGACTTTCCGGGGGTCGACTTTGACCTGACCTTCTTGCGTAATTCTGCAGACTAGGCCAAGTTCCTCTGCTGTAAACCAACCCTAAACCAACCCTAAACACACCCTAAACCAAACCCTAAACCAGACCCTAAACCGTACACCTCTAAACCTAAACCAACCCTAAACCAACCCAAAATCACCAGAAAACAACACCATAAATCAACATAAATCAACCTAAATCAACCCTAGACCACCACAACCCAAGGGGGGGGGTACTTGTCTGACCCATGACCATTGGGGGGGGAGGGGGGGGGGCTGGCAACGCTGTACCATATATATATATATATATATATATGTTTTTCTGGCGTATGTTTCCTTTGCACTTTTCCTTTGCCAACATGGGTACCAACTCCTGAAAAAAGGGTACCAACCCCCCAACCCCCCCCCCAAAAAAAAAAAGCACACTGTTTTTTTTTGAAAAGGAGGCAACCACCCCCCCCCCCCCCCAACCCGCAAAATAAAAGAAAACACATGTTTTGTTTAAAACAAAAGACACGACAACCAACGTAACACGGGTACCAACTCCCCCTTAAACAAAAAAGAAAGCAACGACGGTGCGAGCCAGGCACCTGAGCCCCCGGCGCCCTGACCTGCTGCAGCTGGGCGGCGAGCCGGAGGCGCCCAAGCCCTGGCGCGCCGGAGAGGCCGGCGGGGGCCGTTGGTTTCGCGGGTGGATTCCGGCGGGGTGGGCAGGCGGTGCCAAGTCGAATTTTTTGGAGAATGTGAAAATACGGGAAATATATAAATACACATAATATATATATATATACAATACACACATGTAGATATACACACATACATACATATTTGTATATATGTATACATTTATGTATGTAAACATATACGTGTCTTGTTTTAAACAAATATGTGGAATACATGGGTGTGCTTTTCTTCTTTCAAGGCAGTCCTCAAAATGGTTCTCCTTTTGGCTTCCTTCAGAAGGCCCTATACTTTTCAGGGGATATATCGCAGGGTTTGCGGGAGACCAGGAAGATCCATTTCCAATTGAAGGGGCCAACATGGTCAATCACAGGGTAATAAATTTTAATGAAAGATCCTTGGTCCAGCTTTGTATCAACCGCTAAAGGTGGATACCATTTGGATCTGTGTCAGACACGAATCGTTCTTTGGTTTCCATTTGCCTCACCGAGATCTCGGCCACAAGTCGAGCAGTGGGGATTCTTTTGCATGCCTTTCTTTTCTGGGCGGATCGTGTTTGGTCTGAAGAACTTGTTTCGTGAGGGCAAGTGAATTGAATATGCTTTGGTATGGCAGAAGATTGACATTTTTCTGGTCAAGCAGGGATCGCGCTTTTGTCGCCCTCTACCTTTGAAAGCCATGTGTCTAGGCATAGGTTAGTTTGTTTAGAAATAGATGGGTGACACTGGAGTTTTATTTCATTTTGCCAGGGCAACCCACATTTTTTCCCCAAAAGGTCACCCATGCATGTGGTTGTGTCTTTTTGGGACCCCCAACATGTCTGGGTTTCCCTTGAAAACCACCGAAGAAACCACCAAAACCAATGGGTCTTTTCTGGGTCCATTTCTTTGGTCTCTATGAGCTGTTGAGACTACGAGTCTTCCCATTCCGAAGCGGAAGTGGGTTTTAAGAGTAGCATGAAGCAGTCGATGGACCCAACGCTGGTCTTGGGTTCTTTTTATCTTTGCTTTGGACTTTTAGACTTGTTGTTGCAAGATCGGAGGGGCCTCTGGTTTCGGCGTTGTGCATGCCTTTTTTTTTTAAAGACGACATGAAGAGATGGAGTGAGAAGGGGCCGACACTGCCTGAATGAAGAACCCTGAGTCAGGAGCGAAGACACCTCGTGTCGCGCTCCAGCAAAAGCAGGTCCCGCTCCTTCTGGTGTTTGTCTGCTAGTCAGCCAGTCCTTTGCTAGTCTTTTCCACATTCTTCGCCTCCATCTTTCGGACATGTTCGAGCCAAACCCCTCCTTTTAGAACCTCCAAAAGTGGCGATCCTTTCAGTGGGGTTTCCACCAGCAAACTGATCAGAAAGGGAAATCCCTTGGGCCCCCTGTCTTTGCTTCTTTTGGTGTTGGGTTGGATCTTTCGACTTTAACTTTTGGCTACTACTCATACTTACTGTAAACCAGCGGGAAAGCATGTTCATGCCGTTACGACGCGGTCGGTGCTTAAACCACGAGCCGCGCACGCGTGTGCAGACCAATTGAACGGTCATACCCCAAGTGCGCTGAACCGGCGTGGACGAACAATGCCCGCCTGGACAAAACGCCGTCCTCCGGAAGGATGGGAGGGTGGGGATTGTTCGTACGACCACATATGGGATCCATCCATCCTTCGTTTATGGGTTCGGCTACCGACATATCCTTTGGTGCCTTTTGCCTGGCTGTTTGGACTTCAACTTTTTGCAAACTCATGGGTTTTCCGTACTAAACCCACTAAAAGTTAGTCACTTCTTCTGCAGGGCTTCGCAGATTTCGCAACCGAGTATCGCATCTGGGATCTACACAGCCTTCGGCCTACCGACAGCACAACTGAGCAGGCTGTGGCGCGGCTGGACCACTTCCGGCACGGCCAGGCCGCTGCGGAGGGGGGTGTGGGCGTGGTTTGGGTTTGGTTTTGGTTTAGGTTTTGGGGCGCTTTTTGGGGGAACCCCCCTGCAAATGTGTGCTTTTTGTTTGCTTCGTTTGGGGGGGCTTTGGTTTAGGGCTTTTTTTTCCCGGATTTCGGGGCCGATTTTCTTGTTCCCCGTCCAGTTCCGTGGGGGTTTTAGTTGGGGTTTTGGGTTGGTTTGGTGGTAGCTTTTCATTTAGCCCACAAGGTCAACGGTTAGCAGATCTGAGGACAGCCGAGCTTGTTGCATGCATTGTGGTTTAGGGATTTGTTTTTTTTTGCGGCTCGGCTGCATCGCCATTTGAATCCCACTTCAAAGTGATGTCATGGAGAAGCTCATTTGGTATGACAGAGGGGAGTGATTTCCGACAAGCATGAACTTTCTTGGTGGCTCCCAGCCATCCCCTTAGCTTTTTAGCCTTTTAGTGTTTAGTGGGGATTTGCATTTAACCCACTAAAAGTTAAACCTTGAGCGGGCAATCTGAGGACAGCCCAGTTTTGGCTTTGACTGAAAGTCGGGTGAAGAAAACAACGCAGCAACAATTTGAGTCGCCATTCTCACTCAAGTTCTGCCCAATTGCGGCAGTGGGACATTGAAGGGGAATCGAAGTGGGGCATGTTTTTGTTCCTGAATCTCCCTGATTGCGAACTGGGGTGGGGGGTAAAAATCTGTGGACAGAGGGTTCATGACGCAATTGCCAGCTGATGACTCAGATTGTTGACTCGATGTCCCAACCTCTTGCAGTCATCTGGGGTTGTTGCCTTTGGTGAAGGCTTGTCTCTTGAGCGGGACACGATCAAAATCAACCAAGGGGTAGTTTCGGGTCAAAGTTTGTGCAGCCCCACGGTTGCAGATGAACGATACGTGCGACAAAAACAAAAAACAAATCAAGAACAGAAAGCCCGGCGATGGCTTGTTCGTCCCCAAAATGGCCGTGGGTCAACACCAATGGTGGGGTAGGTGCACCACCCATTTTAGAACATATTTTAGTGGTTGGATTGGGATGTTCACTGGGGGTACGATTTGGCTTTTGACCCATGGCCAAAGGGTTCCAGCGAATCGCAACCAAGCCGAATCTCTGGCAGGGCATAAGGCCAGCTGCGAAAGTAGCCCAGAGCAAATGGCCATGGGTCAAAATCCAAATCGTAGCCCCAGTGAACATCCGATTCAATCCCCACTAAAATTGGTTCTAAAATGGGTGGTGAATTCACCTACCAACCAAAATGGGATCCCGTTTAACGGTTTTGGACCCACAGAGCAAATGGCTGCGATGATCAGTTGTTTCGCCTGCCCAACGGTTGGGGCCGTGTCCCATCTCCGTCTCCGAATGCAGTGCTCCTTGGTGGCTCGCTACAGTCATGGGACCAGCGGCCGCAATTTTCAGGGAAACCAACTAGACGGGATACAGGGGGAACGAACGAACGCATCCGGGTCTCTGAGCACTGAGTGCGCGACTTTTAGGGAGTTTGGGGGTGGCCAAATGAGTGTGTGTGTGTGTGTGTGTGTGAACCAGTTGGATACGGAAGGATTCCCCCGTTTGATGCACCTTGACTGAGCTTGACATGGGAAATGGCGCCAAGTTGGAATCTCCAAAATTTGGGCATGGCTCGATTTGTTTGCGGTTTGCGCTATGTTCCCGGCCATGAACAATCAGGGAGTGCGAGTCCTGAGTCTGAATGGTTGCTCAATCTATGCAGAGGCCCAAGCTCTGCTTCTTTTGAGCGCCTTTTCGCCGAGAAAAAAACAAGTCCCACTGTTGGAAAAGCGGATGTTTGGCACCTGTGCTTTGTCGAAATCATTCGTCGTCACTGTCCCTTTTTGGCTTCACATTCTTTGGTAAAGTCCCGCAGCCCCCCCCAAATACCCAAAGGCATGGTCAGGCTATGCTTCAATCCTAGTCAAGTTTAGTGGTCTCCACGGCACGACGTGAACAGTTCCGGTGGTACCTGATTCCTAGTCAAGTTTCAATCCATCAACTTTCCGCTGTTTCACCCCAGTTTTTTTGATTCGTTGGGCCCAATGAGCATAGGTGTCCTTTTTGGTTGATTTTGTCGAAAATAGAGGGCAATTCCTGGTTTACCTGGTGGGTCAATCAACTACCAGGGCCATCTATTTTCAACCAAAAAGGACGCCTATGTCTATGAGGCGTCTTGAGCCCAGAGAATCGATGGAACCGCCAGGGCAGCTGCCGGCCTCACGACCGTGTCGAGCCTGGGGGCGCTGCCAACCTGGCGAACGCGGCCCGAGCCGAAAAGGAATTGAATGCATCAAAGGCCGAGCTTTGAACCTTTTGGTTTATTGCTGAGGGTGGTTTTGGGGCGGGTTTAGGGTGGGTTTAGAGTGGGTTTAGGGTGTGTGTAGGGTGCTGCCAACCTTTAAACCTTTTGGTTTGGCCTTAAAAATGGGTTCCCCTTTTTGGTCATGGCACCAAAAGGTGATCGCCTTTTCAGTTCTGTTGGGTCCTTTGGGCAACTCGGATTTGGGTAGGGGTCAACATTAAAGCACAAGGACAATGGGGGTTTTGGAATTCCACGATATGCATATGGTCCTGCATCTAACACAAATGATTGTTGCGGGGAGGGTAGATCACGCGGATGCGGTTCCTGGATTCTGACTCTGAGAATGGCCAGTGTTTCGTCACCACTTGGCGCAGCTTCAGCGGTGCTTCGGTGATGTGGCAATTGATTACCCAGCGGTTCGCTCAAATATGTGTGGACAACACTATTCAGAGGAGCAAAAGAGCATGGACTCAATGCACCAATGAATGCCTTGCATTACGCAGAGAGCGCTCGGCAGGATGTGATCGATTCGGAGAGCAGTTTTGGAGGTCTTCATTCACTCACACAGGATTGCTCTACCCCCCCATCATCGAGGTCGCCCAGGCGTTTCCCTCCAACTGCGGTGCGGAACAGTTGTGTATGACCAAGCTGGTCGGGTTTCCGGTGGCTGCGGTGTCCGAACCGCCCGACCCCCCACACCACCCCACCACCCCACCACCCCCCCACCCCCACCACCCCACCACCCCACCTAGCACAGCCCCAGCCATTGCCGCGTGGCGCGCCGATCGCTCCAAATCGCTCTCGAGGTGCAGAGCGACCTGCCGCCCAACTGCCGGGCCCCCGGGGCGCCGCCGCCGGAGCAGCTGGGCACCTTGCTGAAGCCCAGGAGATCTTTCCGCGTCGCGGGTGGACGACGCGTCGCCTGGTCGGCGGTGGTGCCAATGGGAGTTGCCTCAAGTTTTGTTGGGTTTGGTAAGGCTTCTTGGCAAGTGCGTTTTTTGGGGTTTCTCGAGGCGCACCCTCAAAAAAAAACAAACAGCCCAAGTTGGTATGTGGAGTGGTCTAAAAACGTTGCGACGTTTCTTCTGCGGGGGATGGGAGCCCCGGGAAACTCTCGCAGTTCTGGCGGGTTTTGGTATTGGAACTTTTTGGGTTGAAGTCAGGGTTGGTGGTATGAGATGGGAGTTTCTCAACTTTTTTTTCTCCTTTTTTTTTTTTTGGGGGGGGGGTATGTTTTATGTTTTTGGCGCAAGGAAGCCACGCACGGAGGAACGGGTCCCTCATTTGGAGAAACATCCGGAATTGGTCGGCATGAGCTTTGTGGGCCTGGGGCTTGGACAAAGCGATGGTTTTGGATAGTGGCCAAGAAAGATTCATACCTGGAGAAATGAAGAAGTGTGGCCATGGTTCAAAACCAATGGTACCATTTTGGGATAGGTGCACCACCCATTTTAGTCTATTTTAGTGGGGATTGGTATGTGAACTGGGGATACGGGGTTTTGACCCATAGCCAAATGAAGAAGTGTCTTCCCTTTTTGGGGTCGGAGACACAGAGAGACATGCTGCATTTCCTTTTTTCTGGAAAGGACCGTTTTTTCAAAGGGGTCGGTTGGAAGGTGAATGGATTGATTCCCAGTCCTCGGTGCTTGACTTAGATCTGGTTTTATACCTTCCAGGCATATTTTGCATCTTCAAGCTGCCGTAATTTTTGTCCAAAGGAGTACCACTCGGTGTAGGTCTCAGTACGTGACGCTTGAACAAAGGGAGGCTAGGCGGACGCGATGTCGGGGTTGGGTCCGTGATTCCGTGGCTTCAATTGGGACAAGGCAGGTTGCGGCTTGAGGACGTGGGTGGTTGCCCTGAAGCTTGGGTTCCTTTCTGCGGTTGCGAAGGAGGTTGTGCCCTTTGCGTGCCACGGTTGCGCCATTGGTCACTTGAGCCACAATCAAAACCCGGGTAGATGAAGGTTACTAGGGGACATTCCCAGCCGTAAATAGCTGCGGCCGCCTTCTTAATTCTTTACATGGTTCTGGGTCAACCATTTTAATACCGTGTTTTGATTGTGACTCAGACTTGCGGTCAATGCCAAAAGGTCGTCAAGTCGGACGCAGGTCGGACCCTTCTAAGGCGTACCCGTCGAAGGTTTCGGACCCGCGGCGGGGCTCGGTGCAGGACGGAGTATCCCTACTCCTCGCGTGCGCACGTGCCGGTGCCGGTTCCCTTCATCCGCAAGGCCCGGGGCTGGTGAGATGATTCCCGTTGAGGTTGGCCCTCCAAATCATGGGTGTCCCTTTTGGGTTGATTTGCTAGAAAAATAGTTTGCTAGAAAAATAGAGGGTTATTCCTGGTTTACCTGGTGGTTTAATCATCTAAAAGGACACCTATGCTCCAAATGCTTCCAGGCCAAGTCGCGCGCCGTGACTTTTCTTGGCTTTTCAGAGGCAGTTGTCCTGGTAATGAAGAACTGTGAAAGACTGACCCCGCTGGCTGGCTGGCTGGCTGGCTGCAGATGCCAGATTGTGCGACTGTGAGACCTTTGGCTGGCCCGGTTCTGAAACCCGATTTCAATGCAAAACCGACCTCAGGTGGTTGGACACAAATCCCCCAGCGAATTCTGACGTCCACCATTTTCCCCCCCCTCTCCCCCCCCCCCAATGCGAAAATTGTGTCAAAATCGGAGGGGTGCCAAAATCGGAGGGGTGCGGGGTGCCCCAAAAAGGCCAGAGGTCGGCTGCCCCGCTTCGTTCGGTGTCCCATTGGTTGACCAACCCCCCCCGTGCCGCCCGTGGCGCGTTGCGTCAAGAGGCGCGGCGCTTGCGCATGGCCCCGGATCCGGAGGTGCAGGAGCTGCTGGCGCCGCTTGGATCGGATCGGATAGATCCGAGGTGCACGCCTTCGCCTTCGGATGCGCGTGGTTCTTCCCAGGCGCCCTTGTTTGTTTTTTGATTTGATACCCAGGAAGGCACCCCACTCTCCCCTTTTTTTGAGGTTGTTGAGTTTTGGAAGCCTAAATGGACACAGGGCTGTGGGTACAAAAGAATAGGTACCCAACATGGGTTGCCCTGGTAAATGGAACCTGGTGGGCTAAGATCCTGCGGTCCATATCCGGTTGGTTTAATTTTGACCCATACCCAGCCCAACCCCCCAACCCCCCACAAAGCAAATCTAATGGGAGTTTTAGTAGGTGGCTTCTATCACCTGGTTTCTTGGTGTTGTTGGGACACATTTTACATTTTTTGGCTTATTGTGGTTTAGTGGGAAATCCCCAATTGGCTGCTAAAATTTGATTTTTTGCTCAGCGCTTGGTGTTTCACAGGCGCTGGCTTGGTGAACCGATATCTGAGGAGCCCTCAGACAGCCAAGCTGCTGCAGCCGGTTGCAGGTGCTTGGGCAAACACCAAAAGCAAGTGGATGGTTGCGAATCCGTTCTCACCTTTTTGAAACCATGGTTGAAATCATAGCGTTTCTTTGTATTTACATTGGGGAATTGAATCATTCCAGGTCCCCTTGTTGCTCGGTCACACGCTCATGTCTGGTGCTGTGCAATGCAGAGTCCACCTCTGACTCATGCACTAAGGGAAAGCGCCAACCAGTATGCGCAAGTCCCCAAGTTGGATAAAGAAAGGGGAACCAGCGAATTTGGACGAAGGAGAAATCAACGCAGCGACCTTGAGGGAGGGCGGTTTCAAAATCAAATGCGAAACCAACTGGCATTGAGAGGGCTGACCAAGACGCGTCAAACCAACTAGGGTGACCAAAATAGGGAGCACATTTGAAACGCAGTGAATTTGAGGTCCAGACAGCCCTCTGGGGAGTGCACTCTTCGAGTCTCGGTCTCTGTTTTAGTTTGGTTTCTCAGGTTTCAATTTGGCGGTCGAATGGAGATGATGTGCGGACCCAGTCTTGGGATGGTGTTTCCCATTTTTCGTAGGATCTTCTATTTTTGAGACGTATCCATTTGTTTGGGCGAATCCGTTTTCAGACCCCCCTAACCTGCTCATTTGATACCCTTTCTGCATGTTTGCGGATCACAGAACTAGGACGCCTGGATGTACATGGCTGCAAGGCTAGCTGAGCCTGAGCAACGCATGTCAATACTGATGGTTGGATTGGTGGTTTGGGATTGGAACCCCTGGCTCTTGTAGAGGGTTTGCAATGGAAATCCCTTCATAGCCGAACACAAACCACCGGCCTCCAGCAATTGGAGGGAAGCTGATCTTCCCGAAAGTCGTTGAAGAAACTAAGCAACAGATCTGGATTTGTCTCAAGAAGGACCTCCCAGAAGGTGGCCTCGAAGTGAAGAGACGCTGCTAGAGATGGCAATCATATTCGCTCTGACTTTGCAATATCCATTCCCATACTGTGGGTGGACGAAATGTATTTCGCACCACCGTTCAGAAACCCTGGATTAATTCGATTCCCGCACGTTATGGTTTCAACCATGGTTCCAAAGTTGTGCGAACAGAATTCGCAACCATTCACAGTATTTCCCGCCTTGGGTTTTGGCCACAGTTCCAATTACTTCCCCTTTGGGTTCTGAACATTTTGGCCAGCTTTCCCTTTGGGGCGACCTGACCCCCCCAACTGTTGGCTCGGCGCATTCGCCGGATGCGCAGGGGTGGACAGATGGCCCAAGGACGCGGATCCGAGAGCTTTCAGAGGTTTGGATTAGAGTGGTTGGGTCTGAACTCCTTTTGACACACGGCGAAGGTACCCAACCGTCCAAAACCAGGCCAAGCCACCAATGAAGGGTAAGGTGAAGCTTGCCAATGCAACTGTTCTCCCAGGTGGTTCTGTTCTCTTGTGCATTTCTTGGTGGTTGGTGCAGCAGCTGGCTCTCACACACACACATGGGTTGGGAAGATCGAACACAGCCCCTGCTCAGCAGGGTTCCATCACCCAGGTCCACAGGGATGTGAAGGCCAGCAACTTGGCCAAGTCTTATCCACACGGACAGGGATCCGAGCAGAACTTTCAGTGGTTTTTGGAGTGGTTGGGTTTGAACTCCTTTGGACGCATGGGGAAGGCACCCAACGTCCATCCACACAGAGGGAGCTCCTTGCCGAAACACCGCAGGAGGCAGCGGTGGACCGGGGGCGACTTGGCAGAAGCAATCTGGGTTTGCTTGCTTTGGGACTAGTCGGCCTGTCTTTGTCTTTGAGGGCCCCCTTCTTGGTTGGTTTTTTCTGGGAAACCAAGAGGACAACTACCCCTAGACAGAAAGACACACTCTGGTATCAGAACTCTAGCACGCTTGTGCTTCCCTAGTTGGCAACAGCATTTGGCAGCCGCTCTTTGAGGCAACAGGAAATGTACCTCGGAGCGCACAAACCAACATCATATTTTTTCCTAGCTGGTTCGAAGTGCGGGGAATGAGGGAATAGCCCCGATAAACCATCCAACTGGTGGTTTCCTTCAAGGGTTCGTTCCCAACACCCGGAATGATCATTCCCTACTGAGAACCCGCAAGTTTTTTTCCAGGCCTACTGTGGATGGACAGAATCCTGGACCCGTTGGTAGCCGGTGGACCCCTGGTCGGGTCTTGTCCATTCCAAGTGGTGCAGGATTTGGGCCTCTCTTGGCTGATCAACACGAAGAAAGGGCCTTGCGGCGGAGACGATCGGGGTTGTCTTCTTGAGGATACCTTGGTTCGGCGGTTTTAAAGTGAACAAGTCCAAGGGGAACGCCAAAATTCGTTTTGGGGGACACCCTATTGCCAAAGATGACAGTAAGGTCAGAATGGCAACAGCAAACACGAGGTCGGCCGGTTGATGATTTGGATTGGTGGTTTGCGGATTTGAACCCCGGGTTCGGAAAATGCGAAACCCCTCCTTCACCGAACTCTCAGCCACCGGGCTCCATATTTCTAATCACCCTCCAATTGGTGGGTGTTGGATTGGTGGTCCTTGAGTGTGGCTTCCCATTCCTCTACAAGAGCCAGGGCCCAACCCACCAATCCGAACCACCAACTAGGGTCAACCTGAAAACGATCTCCTTTTCTGTGATACCAAAGTAGGGCTTCCGAAGCCACGAGATCGCCTGGAAGTTCCCCACAGAACTTGGTATGGCAAGTTTGCCGTGAGACCAAAACCCAGTGCTCTAGGGGTAACTTGTAACCATTCTTTCCAGGGATCCGGCAAAACCCTGGGGAAATGGCGATCGGTTTTTGAACTTCGTTGGCTCCAAAGCGCCTCGGGCTGCAAAGCGCCTTCCTTTGTGAGCTCCCCAACTCCTGCGCCGACGCGCCGACTCGCCGACTCGCCGACTCGCCGAATCGCCAAGGCCAGAGGCCCGGCGAGGCAGGGCGCCGCATGTTTTTTTTTTTTAGGGACACCAAAAGGAAGCCGTTCCAGTGATGCTTCTCCGTTTAGAGAAATCCCCCATACCATGGATTTGGGCTTCTTTTTGTGGATCCATACACTGGACGAGACCTCGTGTGCGATTCAGCTGGTTCAGCCACATGGGCAGCTGACAATATGACTGCTTGGTCTCTTGTTAGTTTGATGACCGGGATATCTTGTTAGTCAGCTTCCACGCAAACTCCAGGGCGCCCCTTCGATTTTCTCATGTCCTTTCAGAACATAGGATGTGGTCCGCTCACAATAGTATCGGCCGAATCCTGCGTGCATTGGTTGGATCCCCAACATGGCTCAGACTCCGATGAGCTGTGAACATTTTTCCCAAAGCTGGAGAGTGCAAGGGGTGCAACCAAGAGACATTTACCCTTTGGTATGATGGTAAGGCCTAATCTGGGCCTGTCCTTTTCTTTTCACGGGGCCCCTCCCACACCCGGCTGTAAAGAACCCATCAACCAGCATTCAAAATCAAAGCCAGCCCCAGACCCACACAAAAGACCAGCAGAAAAAGACAGGGCATCACACACACACACAAACAGCGCAACACCCAGCGAAAACGGTTCCCCCGCAAAAAAACAAAAGGCATGCCACTCACCTTTTGGAGCGCATTAGCTTCAGCAGGTGCTCGCGTCCGCGCCACCTTCCGCAGGCGGAGCCGAGGGGGAGGTGTTGTCGTGCGACAAAATATATGGCCATGGGTCGAAATCCAAATCGTACCCCCAGTGAACATCCGATTCAATCCCCACTAACATTGGTTCTAAAACGGGTGTTGAATTCACCTACCAACCAAAATGCGAGAATTACTAAAACGGTTTTGACAGCCACAGCCATATTTTTAGAATAAAACATCTCACAGGTCGAGGGACATCGCTCTAGCTGTGCGGGCTTTCAATGTAAACTCCTAGGTTTGGCCTTAGATATTAAATGGGATCCCAGTTTGGGGTAGGTGAACTCACCACCCATAGAACCGATTTTGGCGGCTTTCAACATAGGTGTCCTTTGTGGTTGATTTGGTCGCAAAAAATAGAGGGGTTTCGATTCCTGGTTTATCTGGTGGTTCAATCAACTACCAGGGAAACACATCTATTTTCCCAAATTGACACCACTGGCTTTCAAGTAATCTCCGGGGCTTACCCTGAGATATAATTCAGCGAAACCGATGCCTGTCAGCGCACGCAAAGGGTCCAGATTGCCGTATCGAGTGAGGCACTCACGCCCGTCACTGGACAGCAAGTTGCCCGTGGATCCCATGATGAAAATCGAAATCTCGGCTTCATCCACAGGTCAATGGGGAAGCCGAGGGAATGAATGACCCCAGATGAATCCGGAGGACCCTACTAGTCAGAGGACTCTTTTCCCCTACCAAAAAAAGGAAAAAGATCATGTCCTTCCCAAAAGCTGCAGATGTATCCGAAGCTGACGGTACCAAGACAAATCACTATGTTTTGTTTTCTTCTTTTTCTTTTTTTTCCGAGATCCCGGCAGCGCACAGCCCCAAAAAAGGCCACCCAGTTTTCTCGGCGTATCTGGACCACTGACCCCCGTGGTTCTCTTTTTTTGCAGCACATAATCTCCAGTTGTTTGGTTAAATTTTTGGAGTTGCCGTCAAGCTTTGTTGTGCAGTTTCCAGGCTGAGGACAGAATCCTTCTTGAAAGCAACCAGCGGAGCAAGACATCCGCAGGCTGCAAAGCGTGTCAGTGCTTAGGTTGTTTTTTGGTCGGGCAAACGAAAGAAAAACAAACCCATTACTATTAGTTGTTGTTTTTGTTTCGGGATTTTGCCCCTTTTTTGCCCCATTTTGACACACACACACACACAAAAATCAAGACACACAGACACAAACCAGTACGAACATCACAAGATGCGTGTGATTCAAGTGAGGCCATCTCAATGGGTTCTACTTGGCTTCAGGGGGGTTGATGGTATTTAATAGTAAGGCCCAATATTGGCGTTTCGGATTAGGACCCCCCCAAAATGGTAGGTTTCTTCCTTTTGGTTTTCTATGAACTTTCATAGCCACATACACATAGTCTCCACTTGTTTGCTTGCATTTTTGGATTTGACGTCCGGACCCACATGAACCTTCATAGCTATGTTGGTGGAGCCAACAGTCATGTGTTGAGCACTGCTCAAGTGGTCCTGACTGGCCTTAGGACCTGTGGCGCGCTTGGGTTTGCATTCACGTGCGGTGTTTGCTGCAGCGCAGACATCATCACAACACAGTGGTTTCCCGTTGTCTGTGCGATTGCGATTTGAGTTTTGATTCTGTCTTCTTTTTGATGCGTGTTGCATCTCCACACCGCATTTGGCAGGCATTTTTATCGTTTGCTTCTTTGGTGAAGCGGGGGACCAACACAAATTTGGTTCTCCTGGTTCCCCCCAACAAAAGAAAGCAAAGAAGGGCCCGAGACCAATTTCATTCCAGACTTGGCTGTGGGTCAAAAAATAGGGACCCAGAACGGAACCCTACATCGACACATGGACTGCGGTCCATATCCTACTTTAATTTGACACAATACCCACCTAAAAAAAAGCTGACCCTTTGTACAGGGGTCCCTCCATTTCCCTTTTTTAGACCTCAAGTGGCCATTTTGTTGGAACCCACCAGTAAATTGTACAAGGGGAAATCCAGTAACCCCTGTACAACCTTCACAATCATGTTGGTAGATGGGTCGACCCAAAAGTCTGCGTCAGGGTGCCGCAAGCTTCCGAACTCACCCTGGGAGCCACTCGGCAGAGCACTCGCTCGAGAGCGCTTCCCAGAAAAGCCAAGAGCATTTTGGGGCCAGTGACGGCGCCGGTTCGGTTCAACGAAAACCAGTAGTCCATGTAGAACCCAAAAGGGAAAATGGGCTTTAGGCACTCAATCGGGGGATTTGCGGAAGCATCCAAAAGGCTGAGCCAATTTAAAAGGCTGGTGCCAAGAATTGGAGACTGTTCGGTGTTGTCCACCAGATGCGGTGGGGAACATTTCGAAGAAGGGTCTTTTTTAGACTGCGCGATTTGGACAGCGGTGTACAGGCAGAATGCAGCCAACCGGTTTCGAGTTCCGAGGGGTTGCTTGTGGGGAGCTCCGGATCTCAAATCTTGAAAGGGCATGGTCCAAAGAACCGCCGCAAGGGAAATGGCTTGTTCGCCAAGCCCTTGACTTGCTGGTGAGCCGCATGTACGTGAAAAACCTCACACAAAACGCGTGGAAGGGACACGAAGAAATGAGTTTGCCAGAGGCGGGGTTTCCAGTTTGCCAGAGGAGCTAAAATTGCTGGTGCTCAGTCGGGAATGACCTTTCCGGGTGTTGGGTTGGGAATGAACCGGAATCCCCTTCCTTAAAGGAAACCATAGGGGATAATTTTTCCTGGGGTCGTCATTCCCTCATTCCCTGCTGAGAACCAGCAAGTTGATATGGCGTTTAGATCACTTCAAGGAGTTTCGATCACAGTGCGCACATACAAGAGTATTTCCGTATAGCATACCATTTTTTGTTCATCAGTAGGGTTACAGCAACCAGTCAATCTCTGACACAATTCCTATGTTCCTTCTTTGCGGGAAAAAATGGATGGTAGGTTCCTGCATATCACTACTCACTTGTTGAAGTTATCTTGAATTAGTGGGTGAACTGCTGCTTGCCCGAAGAGCATGTGCACCGCTCACGAATCAACAGCCAGAACATTTTAGGGTCTGACTGCCTTCGATGCGTCGTATTTTTTCTGATTTGTCACACCTCGCAGGGTGAAATGTTCTATCATCTTGTTGCATATTGCTCAAGAAGGTTGTTTTGTTGACACCTGGCGCGGACTCTTACATTCCGCAACATATTCCCCAGATTCAATACGGAAAAAAAAGACATACTCTACCTCTTGTGGGATTATCCAATTTCCCCTACACAATTTTGGTGGTTTGCAGCATCATTTTGTATTCACCCTGGTGGATTGATTAGTAGGGGCATGTTCCCCCCCCCCCCCAGTGAAGTATTCGATCTTCAGTGAGACACCCTCTACGCAATCGACCATGGGCTTATTGATCCTGAATTCCTGGGTCAACACTACAAGGTCTCCCCTTTATTTTGGTGCTTTTGGTCCTCTTTTGCCTCTAAGGTGCCTCTAAGGCGCATCCAGGGAAGGAGACCTTTTAGAACCTTTTGCTAGACCTGGTCTATTCAGACCAACATTGTCCCCTTGGGGGATCTTCTTTGTTCCCCAAACGGTGTTTACACTGAGGGGTTCTTGCGGTAAGAGGGCCTGTCGTCAAGTACCCAATACTTGGGACAATTGGGGTTTAACTTGACGACAGGGATGCCCATTGCATAACCTTTGGGCTGTCGAAGAGAAAAGAAACAATCCTAAACCCTAAACCCTAAACCCTAAACCCTAAACCTTAAAAGACCTTTCCCTCCCACAAGACAGAACCCGCTTTTGGGGGGGCCTTCCCCAAGGAGGGGGGTCTCAAATCAGGACCTTCCCAGCTGCTCAGCCCAGGTCGTCCCGGGCTGAGGCGAGTGGGCTGCCACTGGACTCGGGGCCGCGGGGCTGTCCGGACTCGCGGTCTTTGGAGGTGTGCGCAGTTGGGCCCAGCGGAATTTGGGGCGCCAGGCTTCGGGGGTCCCTCATTTGGAGACACACACACACGCGCACAATCTCAGAATCACAGAATCACACAATCACAGAATCGCACAGAATCACAGCATCACACATGCGGTTTGTCGCAACTGGGGCCCTTTCCATACGGTTTCTTCCAGGTTCCATTTGAACCCCATGCCAAACATCTCCAAAGCCCGCGCGAAGTTTTCAAGCGCTGGGCATCCGCGAAGCGGAGGTGGCATTCGACGTCCGGAGTTGGGTGTCTGGTTTGGAGGGTATATACACCTCTTTTTGGTGGGTTTTAACAGGAACCAAACAGGAAGCCAACCATTTTGGGGTCCCCTGAAAAAGACAAACCCATATCTGGGCGAATTGATGCGTCCTCACAATTTGTAACACATATCATAAATCCTTTCATAGGCAAACCTTTGTTTGGTTGGTGCACTTGGATGCGTTTTGATCTGCGGAGTGTTGGTGACAGTTCTCTGCTTTTGTTTGCTTGAGCACATGGCCGGATGATTTTGTTTACTTGCGAAACCAGAGAGGGGACACCGGACACCTTGCACCTCTTGTGCTCACTCGCTCTGGGCTCCTGAAAACTTTAGCTTTCTACACACAACCTCTGGATGTTTCCCCCAAGAAGTGCATGTAGCCGAGGAATTGCGCGAGCTCAAAAAACCCTTGAACGGATGCCGATGCCATTGAAGGTTCAGCGATTTTCCCGCCGGTGTCCGCTTGCGGTTCAACGCCGCGCAAGCCGCGTGAAGCCGCGTGATTCCGGGTCTGGAGAATCCATCCTCTTGGGTTACGGGTTCGGGTCCCCGAACCGCGGCTGCCCAAATTGGAAAGGATCAGCGGAGTTTGCGCGTCCGGATGATCATCTTCAAGTGGTCTGCATTGCACCCAGCGAGAGCACATCTTCTGAAAGCTGCGCGAAAGACTTTCCGGATGCAACACAGCAAGCTTGTGTGGGGTTTCAGTGCATCTTGCAAACCCTGAGCCAAAACAACGCCTGGTGCCCAATCATGGCAGGAGCTGACAACACTGAGATTGAAGCCAGTGGATGAATTCGGTGCTGATGAGGTTAGAGATTTCACGGGTTGGGTTTTATGCCCCATTTATCCCATCTATTTTTCCAAAAGGTGGCCTATGCTGATGATTCTAACTTTGAATCTGATGCCAATCCTTCCGAGAACACAACGGAGGTCTGCTGATGGCATGATGCAAATGCCTGCTGGTGATGATGAAGCAGAGTTGTCCCAACGACACCACCTGAACAAAGCTTTGGTCTTGACCTTGAATGGCAAAGGAGCTATCACATGATTCAGATGGAGATGATGTAGATTATGCAGACGATGTAAATGATGCAGATGGTGCAGATGATGTAGATGATGCAGATGATGCATATGATGCAGATGATGGAGATGTAGATGATGCAGATGATGTAGATGATGCAGATGATGCAGATGATGCAGATGATGTAGATTATTCAGATGATGTAAATGATGCAGATGGTGCAGATGATGTGGATAAGATGCGCATGGTGCATCTGCATCAGCAAGACGTTGCCAACAAAGAAGCTGATGCATATGATGCGAGCGATGCGCATGGTGTGATTGGAAATGCGGATCAGTACCGGTGACCAAGTGACGCTGATGATGCTGGCGTCGGCCGCCAAACTAATGCTCTTGACTCTGGTGACGTGGATTCTGATCATGCAAATTATGTTTGGTGAGGCAACACCTGTGCTGAGGAAGCTGTTGGAACCAATCAGGCCATGTGATACATGGGGTTCAGAGAGCGGGTCATGCAGATTGGCTTGAACGGGTGCCACCCGTCGAAGACGGGGAAGCGGGCACTGTACAGTTTTTGCCACTTGCTGCAGGCCATCCCCGTGATAAAGTAGTGGGAATGGTTCCAAATTGAGACACCAGGGGAACCGCAGGTGTTCGCCCTTGTTGTCATTTACTTGGATTCCATATGTGGTACCTATGTTCGACCGTTTCTATCGCAGGGCAGTTTTTTTCGACTCTGAAAATTGGGAGTGCAGCAGAGATGGCCTCTGAGAGTTGAAGGCCCACAGAAAAGGCCTTGCTGACTGGGGAGCTTGAAGCTTGGGGGTCTCTCTCGGATGCGGGATGTGAGACTTTGATTGCTTTGGGCAAGATTCGGGTATATATATATATATATGTATGTATATATATATATATGTATATATATATATATGTATACATATATGTATGTATGTATATATATATATATATATGTATATGTATTACATGTATATGTGTATATGTATATATGTATATATGTATACATGTATATATGTATATATGTATACATGTAACATGTATGTCGAAATAGGGGTACCGGGCTGTTTCGCTTTGGTCTTCCTTAAGAAACCAGCTGAAAAAGGGCGCCCACTCATTGCGCAGGGCCCATTGACCAACCGACCTTCGGTGGCAAGGTGGCTTCTGGTCCGGATGTGCATGCCATATGGCGCTCAAATGCATTTTGGGAGATTTGGAGAGTGAGTTGGCAGCTTGGTGTCCACTCGCCATCAAAAGTCAGTTAGGGCTGTACAAACCGCGACATTATTCAAAGCTTTGGCACCATTGTTCTGTCCGGAATTGCATGTCTCACCTCTTCCCTTTTCCTCTCGGAATGTTTTTGTCGCAAAATCAGATTCGGACCTCGTGATTGAGACCCTTCCCTAATTGAGTTTGTCAGGAAAAGGGGGTTGCAGCCCCGAAGATTTGCTGAGGGGGGGCGTTGAGCTAGTTTCCCGGAAAAGATGGCCGAATGGAAAAGCTTTTTTTTCTCCAGTGGGAAGTTGCCCTCCAATTGGAAAGCGAAACCTTCACCCCTGATACCCTTTTTTGCAACAATCATGGACGTGGACGTTTTTGCAGGCTTCCCCAAAAGGAAACTAATGTTCCAACACCCTGAGAGCTTGCATGTAGAGAGGGTACGCTGGACGCAACCGATCAAAATGCAAGTATGGAGCACGGGAAAGGGTTGGTTTCCTTGCAGCACCGCGGATGGCCAAAGTCCATGTCGCGCCAGCACGGATTGGCGGTTTATCTTGGAGGGTAAGGGACAATTTCCGAGCCAGAAATGGGTGCGGATATCCGCCTTTTCAATTCTTTACATGGTTCCTGGTAAACAATTATAATAGTGGCTCACTTCAAATCGGGGTTCATATGCCAACTGGTGCCCATGGTGGATTTTGTATCCACGGTCTTTCGTTGGCATCCCTACAATTGGACGCGTTTCCTGGCCTTCCAGGAGACCTACGGGAGGCTCAGTTCGAGGGTTTGGCCCGCGGTTGTTTTCTCGTTTTTCCTTCTGGCCACTGCGAAAGATGCCATGGTTCTAGGCGTAGCTTCCCAGACTCAGGGGTCCTTCTCTTGGAAAAAACGGGGCCCATTTCTTTGGGAAGATGGGCGGTATCGAAAGAGAATGGGTGAAGAGAGTGGGGAATCAACCCCTTGTCTTCCCCTAGCATGCCCCCTGTTTGAAGAACTCCATTGTGGGAGTCTTTCAAGATGCCTTCTCAGTCGAAGGACATCGAATTGCCAGAAACTTGTTGACCCTTTTTTCTTTTTTTCGGACCCGTCGCGAAAAGCACAAAAGGCCAGTTTGTCATGCGGGTATTTTTCTTTTTTTCGGACCCGTCGCGAAAAGCACAAAAGGCCAGTTTGTCATGCGGGTATACCAAGAAGAAAGAGCTTGCGAAGCCGGGGGGGGGGGGGGAAGGGGTCACCGAGCTGAATCCGCTCGAAAAGTAGAAATATATCACGAAGCCAGTGTCTATTTTTCGTTTTTGGGACGCCGCCAAAATGGTGGTTTTCCTTTTGGTTTCCCTTGAAAGCCGACCAGAGAAGGGTACCATCTTCTCAGGGCGGGTTGAAAACAGGCCCCATTTCGTTCAGAAGCATTTCCGTTGCTCAAAGCAAAGGAATGTCTTTTTTTTCCGCAAAACTTGGTGTGCCGTGCTTTTTTGATGTGACAAGTTTTTCTTGGCATGTGTAGAACACAGGCCCCGTTTTGTTTAGAATATTGCGCAAGGCACCAAAGGCTCGTTTTTTGTTCGTTTTTCTCGCACAACTGTGTGCACAGTCCGTTTCTTGAGGGGACACATTTTTGGGTTCCCCCGAAAGGAGATTCCGTTCAACATGTCTCTTTTCGGACTTGGTTGAGTTCGGCCACCGAAGTGTCATACGAAACCATTCAACGGCCCCTGGCCCAGTTTTTCCGATCTGCCAAAAGCCGGCTGTGAAGCCAAAGCAACAGAGGCTTTCGCAAGGGCAATCTTTACTCATTTCTCTTTTCTTTGCATGTGGTTTCTCGGGACTCATTTCGACGGTTGCCTCATTTCGACGGTTTGCCTCTATTTGGCTGTGGGTCAAACCCAATGGTACCATTTTGGGGCAGGTGAATTCACCACCCATTTTAGACCCTATTTTAGTGGTTGGATTGAATCGGATGTTCACTGGGGGTACGATTTGGATTTTGACCCATGGCCATTTCTTTTTTTTGCAGGTGGTTTCTCGGGACTCGTTTCGGCGGGTTGTCTTTATATAACTTCAACTCCGGGGCGTCGGTTTTTGTCTCTGGCTGGGCGCACAAAGCGAGCCCGGGCGATGGGTCCGTGAGGCCAAGAAGGGGAAGCTGACCGGTCGGAGGCTCAGCCGTTAGCTTGAGAGAGCCTCGGCTCAAGCACAGCTTGGTGAAAAGAAGCCATCGATGCGGAGTCGGATTTCCCAGGAAGCTAGGAAGCTTGTGCCAATGTAACGTATGATGGAAGAATAGAAGCTACCAAGCCAACATGCAGTTTGCTTGCCGTTTCAACAGAGCTCTCACGGTTCTCGTGAAGCGAGTCGCCCAAGGCTGGGACGAGAATTCCAGTGCGCCGACCCCTGCTGCAGCCGTGGGCCCCGGGCTGTTAGCAGACCCAGCAAAGTGTGAGGAGCAAATAGCTGATTAATAATTCCCAGCCACCTTAGGTCTTAGCTTTTTAGTTGGTTTTAGTTGGTTTTAGTTGGTTTCAGTTGGTTTTAGTTGGTCTCGCGTTTTTTGTTTCCATTTGACCCACGAGCTGAACTCTGAGGAAACCTCTGAGGACAGGCAGGTGGAAGTTTCCGATGAGGCGAACTGGGATCGTTCACGGGGGTTCGCCGGTCTGAAAGCGAAATCCGAGCGGACGAGCGGAAGCCGCGTGCGATCAACACCGCTTCGGGTAGATGAAGGGTAATACTTTGCTGTTCTTGGCATTTTTTTTTTTTTTTTTTTTTTTAGTTTTGTTGGTTCTGTTCATTTTTACTGGGGGTCTGCAAAAAACAAAGTTTTTTGCTACCATACCAAGAGTAGATGAAGGCTAGTAAGGGACGATCCCCTTGCCAGAAATAGCTGCGGAGATCTCCGCCTTCTTAATCCTGTACATGGTTCTGGGATTACGACCATTTTAGTACCAGGTTTTGATTGCGACTCAATTGAGTAAGCTACGCAAGAGGTCAGAGCTCATGTTGCTGCCTGCAAACCATGCGCCGCCGGAAGAATCTCCCGCACGGCCAAGGGTCATGTCACTCTTGCATGGGTTGTGTTGGTTGATTGGCCGCATCACCACAGCATCGCTAGCACCAGCCTGACTAGGGCCGCAAACTCCCGAACAACCCGAGAGGCGCCCTGTTCCTAAAACCGAACCAAATCAGAACCAATGAGAAGAGTTCGTGCCATTGCAAAGCAGGCAACCCGGAAATAAGTGCACCTTTTTTTACGGTGGCAAATCAACCAACAGATTTTGGAGGCCTTTCAGAAACAAGCCTTGTGTAAACTCATGTGCCCTGAGCACGAAACCAAATGTGGGAGGTTCCTCCCATCGGAGACATCGCCATGCGCCACCTCCAAAAACGGGTAGCCTCACAAACAGACCCGCCCGGCTCGCTGTTTGGCGGCATAGCAGCTGCCAGGATCCCGGTTGAACTCATAAAGTCTCAGAGTCAGGCCCTCGGGGACAAACGTGTTCGAGCCTTGGCCGGATCGGCAACTCAGGTCCTTTTGAGTGGTTCATTGCAGCTCATGCCAAATCGATGTGGATGCACGACCAAAATCTGAAACGTACATCGCTGCACTGTTCATCTCTAAGGTTCTGGCCGGCCTTGTTGGCTTGCATCCGCTTTTTGGCTGTGGCTCAACAAACCGGTACCCAAAATGGAACCCCGGTAGGTGGAAACATAAACCAAAACCGGCGGTTTGCCCCCCCTGGTTCATTTTGAGCCACACCCTTTTGGCGGGCCACACCTTTTGGTTCATCTTCGGCCCGGTTCTTCCCAGGTGGTTGTCCCATGGCTGGCCGTCAAAACGCTTTCGTTTTCGGCGCTCAGGTGCCGACGCCTGCCGGCGCGTGCCTCAGGATCTGCTCTCACTTGGGCTTTCAAAGGAACCCCCCCCCAGCCAAAGAATACATAAGACAAACAACATAGCGGAATTTCTGGACAACTGAACGGGTCCGTCATTTTGACGGAATTCCCCCTTTGGAGGGGGATTGATCACGAACCCATCTGTGTTGAGGGTGTTCCCCATCGAAGCAAAAACTCCTTTTGTGATCAGACGTTGCAGTTTCACGAACACAAAGAAAAGGCTTCCCTGAAATAGCGCAATGTTGGGAAGGATGATGTTCTCTGCTCGGCTGGTTGAAGTGATAGCTGCACTGCCATGATGCGACTTTTTAGCCACGAGGCATTCAAGTCATGAGTGGGGCGAGTTGGGTGCTTGCTTCAGGTTTTGGGACGAATCGGATGGGCACCCAGAAGAATTGAATGTGATGCAGGTGATGCAGATGATGTATGTGATGCGTGCGAGGCAGGCCATGCCACGGTGATGCAGGCAGTGCAGGTGGAGGAAAGGCTGGCGACGATGCAGGCAATGCAGGTGATGCGCAAGATGTGGGAGATGCGGGTTAACCAAACCAAAAATAAAGCAATAGGCGATGCAGGTGATGCAGTGAATCCGCATTTGTAGACTAACATTGCGAAGTTTCGTATGGGGCAAATTGGCACAACTCAGAAACCGCAAGATGGAGCCTCCAAGGCACCTTCATGATTGAACTCCAAGCCACTGCTTCCAGTTGCAGGTGGGAGGAAAAGCATGCAAACACTGCGGCTAGAAATACCTGATTCCACCGCTCCACGTCTGAGGCACCTCTTGCGGCACTCCGGCGCTGGATGCGGGGGGCTTTGGGGGTTGGGTTGCATGGGGATGCTTTGGAGTCATTGAGCCGATGTACTTGGTACCTTGGTGTTTTGGATCGCTTCAAGCGAAAGGGAAAACAGTGTAGCAGGAAGTTGCAGCCGTTGATTGCGATTTGTGGATGGGTACTTGGTGACTTCGGGTCTGAAGTTACGTTCACAGACAGCATGTGCGCACATCCAGCTTTTTGCTTCTTCTTGCGTTGGCCAATGGATCTGGGGGAAAACCTAGGCCTCAAGAAGGGCTCTTAGAACCTTAAAGAGGGGTTCCTAGAAGGCTTTTGGTGGGTAGGGGCCCTAATGATTAGCCCTGCGGTGCTCAAGGTCACATGAGAATCGCTCCAAATTACCATGGTCAATTGAGTCAATTTGACAGAGGCATGGGAGACTCCTAAAATTCTCGCCGAGGGTATCGGAGAAATTCTCCCGGAAGAACCACAATGGGTTGCTCCGACCCTCTTTTGGGGACCTCCGTTTTTCGGTTCCATGTTAATTTACCGGGGATGAGATCAACCGTTTACAAGCAACAATTAGGATGGTGTCCCTTTTTCCCTCTTTCCCTCCTTCTCTCCTTCTCTCTTTCTCTCTCGCTTTCTCTTTTTCTCCTTCTCTCCTTCTCTCTTTTTCTCTTTCCCTCTTTTTTTTGTTGCTTCTCTCTCTCGCTGTTTCTCGCTGTGTCTCTTGTTGGGATGCCGCATTTGCTGCCAGCGCATTGTTCAGATTGCTATGATGGAGTTCGGTTTACGCGTTCAATGCACACGAGTCGAGTCATGTCCAGGGCGAGCAAGATTGTTGATCCGCCCTTTGGCCCACATTTCTACACGAAAAATTTAGAACCACCCGAGCACTTTTTTGGTCTCCTTTTGGTGAACCTTTAAGACCACCAAACGCCCTTTCAAACCACCCTTTTGGTTTCCCAAAGCAAGGGGTACCAACATGGCTGTGGGTCAAAACCAATCGTGCCATGTTGGGGTAGGTGAATTCACCACCCATTTTAGAACCTATTTTGGTGGTTGGATTGAATCGGGTGTTCACTGGGGGTACGGGCTTTGGACTTTGACCCATGGCCACATCCAAAAAGGTCCCTTTTGGTCTCCTTTTGGTTTCCCTTTCAAACCCACCAGTTGGTTTCCCAAAGCCAGGGGTACCAACATCCCCCAAAAAACGGGATTCTTTGTGGTCTCCCCTTGGGTCGATTTTGGGACGCCGATTTTGGGTCCTAGAAGATCAGGCCTCCACGCCCTCGCCGGAGCAGATGCGCTGCGAGGCGAAGGCCCTCGGAGAATAAGTGGTGGAGATGCAGCTTTGTGTTTTGGGATGTTTCTAGGGGTTGATTCGTTCCTAGAGGGTTTATGGGCCACAAAGAGGCGGATGTGTTCCTTTTGGCTTCCCTGAAAACCAGCCGGAAGTTCTCTAGGGGTTGATTCCTTGTCCAGTCTTTTCAAGCATCGTTCTTTCCAAGACCGGATTTGTTCTCCCTCGGTTTCCGGAGGTTTTCTAGAAAGATTCGGATGCCTGGAAAGAAGGGGGAAGGTACCCCTAGAATGTTGGTACCCCTTGCTTTGGGAAACCAACGGGTGGGTTTGAAAGGGAGCTGGGTGGCTTTAAAGGGAAGCCAAAATGGACACCAAGCCAGCTTGGGGGTCCCAATTTTTGCAAAAAGGACAGACCCAATATGATTTCTACAGGGGACCCATGGCGATTCACCTGGATAAATGGTTGGTAACCCTGGTTCCAACCCAGTTGGAGGACTTGCAATGCGGTACAACCAATCAACACTTAGTGGGGGAGGTGGCGCAGCAGAGTGGCTTTGGCTTCTTGGACATCTTGGCATCTTTGGCCGGGGCGTCGCTTTCTTTTTACCCGGATTCTTGAGGCATCGATTTGGGATGTTGTGCTACAAATGCTGCGAACGTCAAAACTCTGAGCTTGGAGGCCGCTTAAAATTCTCGGGCGCTCTGGAAAGGGAATCGGAAAATGCAACCTTATTTCCCTTTGTTGGCTTTAAAGGGAATCCATATCACTACTGGACATATTCTTATTCTTTCCGGGGTGAAAACGCACATGGAAGTCTTTGTTCTTGAGGTGATCGTCTGACTTGCCATGCCAAACTGGCAGACATTGGCACCTTGCCGACAGCCCTTTGTCTGCGTGAGTCTATCAGAGCGGACTGCACTTGACAAAAGGCTTGCAAACCCATCCTTTCAGCCATTCCGGATGATACCCGGCCCACACGGTTGAAGTCCTATCCACGGAGAATCGTAGCAGCCAACTTGCTTGGATGATTCTACCAGCAGATACGCTGGGATCCATTCAGAACTGTGTCCTGAGACCAATGTTGCTGTGCAAACGCACCTAATGCATCCTGGAAGTCTTGACAGCGAACCTATTAGCACGCGGCTATTTCCAAGCTTGGTTGCACAATTTGTTTGAGCAACCAGGGCACACACCGCGACGGGAAAGCTGAATGAGGATGTGACGATAGTTTGAGCATGTGTTGAGAAACATACTGGCAAAAAAGCACATTGTTTCTCAGCAAAGAGGTCTCTCATTTGGTCCCAACCCCCAGTTCCCAAAAGTGCCTTGGCGACGGTATGTCGAGGCTTATTGAGTTGTGTTTGTTTTTGATGGCTATGAATTTTGAAGGTATCTTTCAAACAGTTCAAACGGACATGAATCCCCACCTAAATGATGTCCACCTGACGTCTACCCGATCTTAGTTGCTTTCATAGTACCCGGTATCCTATCGCGACATTTCTCGGTTAGCAACCAACGTGGGACGTGCATTCGCTCAGATGCTGTTGCTAGATCCGCGACAATGCCTCTCTCTTTTGGCTTCTCTTGACGATAAAGAACGGGCCCGGGAATAAGGCAATGGCGCCAAACAAAACCATCCCTTATAATTTCCTTTAAGGGAATCCCTAGGCCTGAGCACCAGCAAGTCTTGTAACCCAACTGTTTCCAGCAGGGCTCCTGAAAAGATATATTTTGCGGGAAACCACCATGTACAAGGCAATGTTCAGGTGTATGATGCAAGGATCCCTGTTTCCCGGCCGCTTTCCCATTCCAGGCCCCTCACTGCTGCAAGTCTTTTCGCGGGGTCATGACTCGATGTTAGCCGGACGTCCTCGATGGGTCATCGAGGGGTTTCTAGGTCCCCCAGCAATTGGTGCCCTTTCTCATCCCTTTTTTGGTTGGGAGGGTTCCCCTGCTAAAATGGACTACAGAGAAAAAGTCGGGTACCAACTCATTCTAACCTCTCAAATCTGGAGGACCCCTTTGTTTTTTTTCTTGTGGATTCCAACAAGTGATCATTTTGAGCGCTTGATTGGGGGCGGTTTCCCTTTCAACCACCATTTAGAGGGCAGTTTTGAGGATGTCACTCTTAGTGGACCCTTCTTGGCAGACCATAAGAGAGCAACTTTTCGGGCGAACTTGGGGAGACCCTTCTGGGGATCGACAGGGGCCTGTTTCTCCAAGGTCCTTTGCCACTTCTTCCAAACCATTGGCTGGGCAAAATGGGGGAGGTCGAAAACTACCAGAACACTACCACAAAATTGGGTGCCCCATCTTGTCCTGAACATGGCTGTGAACATCAACCGGGCACCTCCAAAGATGTGTGACATGAAATGTCCACAGGTCCCCCAATGAACTCATGAACTGGTAGCCCCCATAGGTCACAGCCCTGAACATGGCCTGCCCTGTTTTTGAGGCTCCCTACCCTCCCAGCTATGGAAGTGCACAGCCTGCAGAAAGACGACCTTTGCAGCTCCCACGGTTTCTTGGGAGGCCCTCTCGGAAGGGACCTTTTTTTGCGCTTCCAGGTTAACTGGGAGGCTGCCCTTCTTGGGGACGACTTTTTTCTATGGCCGCCCCCCCCAAACAAAATCCGCCCGGCTCCCCGGCCCCGGCTGCGGATCCAGGAGTTCACGGACTCCCCGGGCCTCGCGCAGCGGAGCATTCAGAACACCCCCGAGCCCGGGGACCTCAGGCGCTCGCCCGGGCGTGGCCTTTGGCGAGCCCCAGGAATTTGTCAAAAGCTGCGGAGGGTGGGCGAAGAGTCCGGGGAAAATCGCAGCCCATGAGAGGAGGAATGGGAAGGAAGCCGGGGGGGGCTTGTGGGTATTTGTGGGGGGGAGCCATGGGAAGGAAACCGGAAGGTTTGTTGGTGTGTATGTTGGGGGACTCCAATCATGTTTCTGGACGGTGGTGCGGAGTTCGTCCAACCACGTAGTAGGTGTCCATTTGTTAAAGGTGAGTTTAGTTTGGTTAGAAATAGATGGGTTCCACTAGTTTATCTAGGGAAAACTCACCTATGTCTCCAAAAGGTCACCCACGCACGTGGTTGTGTCTTGTTGTTGAGGATTTCCAAAATCGCACATCGGTGTTCCTTTAGGTTCCCCTTCAGTTTTGGGCCCTGTGTCCTTGTCTCTATGTTTCCCCCCATTGCTTCGAGTTGCCACTGCATTTTTACCTCTAGGTTTCACATGGTTTCCATTGGATTCCGACTTTCATGCTAGCTGGAAGCACGGGTCACCGAAGCTGCTTGAGAGACGCACTTTTCTTTTCTTTCAGCTCCATTGCGTGCGCTTTGAACCTCTGTGAGCCGTAGGGTAGGTTCGTTTGGTGGCACCCCGAACCTGAAACCTGCAGATTCAAGCAACATTAAACCACCCGCACGCACCAGAGCCAACCTCAACATCTCAGCTCAGCCCTCAACCAAGATCACAATACTTCCGACGCCAACTCACCAACCCCCGGCTCAATCATCCCCATCTCGCAAAGTCGTTGACTTGTTTTAGGGCAGCTATGACTTTTATCAGGTACCCAAACGGGGCTGGCAGAGAGACATTTGCAAATGATGCCCAAGGTGTCTTTTGAAGCTGCGCGTGGCTAAAAGCTGTCATTTGTGTCACATGGGTGTGTCTTTTTTTTTGGTGACCCCCTTTCTGGTTGGTTTTTAAAGAAATTAAAGGGAGAACCGACGCGGCTCCCCAAAAAGCGACACGCCAATATGGCTGTGGCTCAAAAAGCCGGTACCAAAATGGCTTGCCCTGGCAAGTGGTAACATGGACCAAAACCGGCGGTTTGCCCCTCCGATCGTTTATTTTTGAGCCACACCCATATCTTGACGCATACCCAAATCTCTTGACACATGGGTATGGCTCAAATGACAGAGCTGGGGCAAACCGCGGGTTTTGGTCCTTTCCATTTACCAGGGTGCCATTTTGGTGCCACAAGCCATGAGTTGCCAAGGCCGATGCACTGTGGAGGCGGGAACGGATCAAGGAATCGGAAGCTCGGCGATCCGAAGCTCGCGAGTTCGCCATGCGGGTGTGTCTGTTTTCGGGTGCCCCCAAAGAGGGGTCCCCCAAGAAAAGACAAACCCATGAAGGCGGGATCCGATTCTTATTTCAGGTGAAACTGAAGATCTAGAGTGGCCAGCTTTGATGGAAGTACCTCAATGTAGAAAACCAGTCTTATCAACTTTTGATGTCCACGAGTGCCTCCTGCGACTCAATCCCGAAACATCTCCCAATCCCTCAGAGTGGCATGATGGGGCATCACCTTGCCAAGGTGTATGCATATGATCCAGCAATTGGTTTCGAGCATTTTACATTTTGGACGGTCCGAGCGTTTCATGCGCCCTATCTTGAGCCTCTATATGTTGGGAGTTGACCTGCCAGTGACCCCAGTTTTACGTCAGATCCGCTCTCGTGCATGGCCCAGGTGGCATGTGGTTGCCCTTAGTTTATCGTTCACTTGGAGCACGCGAATCAAATTTCTCCCGAATACGGCAGAATACGGTGTGGGGCTGGAGGGCGGGGGCGGGTAGAATCGCTGGGCGAACCGAACGAACTTGTCGGGGGCTAAAATGAGCTGTCGTGCAGGCGGTTTACGTGGGAATTCTCATGCCCAACCTTTTTTTACAAGTTACTTTATGGGGATAGAATCAACCACGGCGAGACATCCAAAGTGAAACAGATATGTTACATTTTTCCCATTTGGGCGTGTCTTTTAAAGGTTGGTGGACCCCCAAAAAGGCTTAGTTGCTTTGCTTTTGGTTTCCCTTTAAAACCACCAAGAAAAGGCGATGACCTCAAAAGGAGACACCCCCCCATTTGGCTACGTCTTTCTCACATCATCCCAATCTGATTTCATGGACCCCCAAGGGAGGCTATGGAAAAGGGGGCTATTTCTTATTAAGCCCTTAATAAGGCCTTAAGAACTTATCCTTGGGTTATCCTGGGCTTATCCAGAAATAGCCCCCCCACATTCCATGATGATTGGCTAGCTTCCCCATTCTTTTCAGGGATCCTTCTTTCTAGCAAACCACCAAACAATATGGGGAAACAGCGATCGGTTTTTGAAAATAACGATGGCTAAAAAGAATGGACAAGGAATCACCCCCCAGAAAAAAAAAAAAAAAAAAACAAAAAACAAAAAACGCAAACATGTTCACATGTCCAACAGTTGGGGTCCATGTCCAACGGAGGTCACTCTGATTTCTCTTTCAGACCCGGAAGCCGTCCGCAGGCGCAGCCATCAGCACTCCCTCGCCTTGTGCCATGCAGGGCGCCGTGGCGCCGTGTCGGTTTCGCGAGACGGTGCCGGTGCGCGGTGCTGGGAAGACACAGGCGACCTTTTCGTGCCCTTCAAATGGACCCCTCATATTTGTTTTGTCTTCCGTTTTGGTTGCCCTTGAAATACGAAGAGTAAATAAGCACCTCTCCGTAAGGAGGGGATTCTTTACTTGTATTGCCACGGTTCTTGAATCACGTCAAAAGTTTGGCTCGAATCCCCGGCTCCCATGCAACATGTCAGAGGCAATGTGGAGCTAAGGCCGATCCCTGCCTGACAATCATATGGGTATGAGTCAAAGTTAATCCGCCAAGGGACCGCAGGTTTTAGTCCATGTTTCCACTTTCCAGAGTTCCATTTTGGGTACCTATTTTGACCCACACCCATATCTAGGTTTGTCTCCAACACTGGTGAACACCTGTGGAAACTGAAGGCTGAAGGACGCCCGTTGCAACTTTGTGGGGACCAAATCGCATGTTGCGACTCCAAAACTTTGGTGCAAGTTGCCAAGGCATGTTAGGACTGAACAACCTTTTGCCAGCTAAATGGGTTTTCCGTATGAAACCACTAAAAGTTAGTCACTTTTAGCAGGGAAGCAGATTTCGCACCCGAGAAAGGTCGCTTTGGTGTTTGGATCAGAGATGGCCCCCCCCCACCCCCAACAGCGTGGTTTGACGGAGCTGGAGCCGGAAGGTTTGGCAACCGTTCATGTGAGAAATAAAGTAGGGGACGCTCCAAGCCACGTTCTGTGGACGCACAAAATCCTGCACCACTTTGAAACCATGGGAAACCATTGTTTGTTGGTATTTACAGGGGAACCATCATTCTAGGGGTTCTTGGGTGGTGCAGGATTTTCTTACATGGAACAATGGGAGACCGTTTCATCCCGATCGCTGTTGAGACGACTCATCTTCTTTTGTGCATTTTCGGGAGGCGGGGTGAAGCTTCGCCCGTGCTCTCCGGTTGCTTTAGGGCGGTTCGTCCGTCCGAGGTCTTCCTTGAACCACCCCATGCTGGGCTTGCCGCCGCTCCGGCGCGCTTTCCGCGAAGCAAAGCTCGTGGTCTGAGTCCCTTCTTGAGGTATGGTTCCCTCGTTCGGTCGAATTTCACCCTTTTTTCCCCCCCACCCTTTTTGTTCTTCTTTTATTTATTTTTTGTCTGATTTGCATCTGTTGGCCTGACTACATCTGTTAGTGGACAACCCAAGCCATCCCTTTGTCCAAACGACCCGCGACCTGTGAAGCAAAACTCGAGCTGCAGTGACCCTGCCAGTCCGCAGATCTCAATTCCAAGCTGGCAAAACCACTTTCGGCCCGCTCGCCAGCCGAAAGCAAGGAACAGTTGTGTTTGTGCGTCTGTGTGTTTTTGAAGGCTGTGTTTTGGGGTTGGTGGCACCAGTGGGAGGGTCCCTGGAAGATCAGTTTCCTGTTGAAGGGCCCCCTGTCAGGTGTCAACGTGGGAGGGAGTGTGCCTTGGTGCCCCGATATGAGATCGCGATATGGGGGTTGATCAAAAGGTCCGTAAAACATGGGATGACCATTGATTGGTTGGACAATCCGTAAAAAGATGATATTTTAACGGAAAAGTTACCAATGGTCAGACCTGGTGGCCCTCAATGGGATATTGACCAGCCCTCACATTGTGGACGAAATCCTGCAGCTCCCCACAGAAAACCTTGGAATGATGACTCCCCTGTAACTCTATTGCTATTGGGTTGGATCTTTAGACTTTCACTTTTTGCATTCCCTTCACATTTCCTTTTAACCAGCAAAAAATGGTAACAACTGTTTGCTGGGGAAAAGAGCACCCAAGGTAAATACCCAGCAGCCTTCTGGTTTCCCATAGTTTCCAAGTGGTGCTGGGGCCGCTGGCCAGGCCCCGCTTTGACCACATGCCGTTGCAGGGTAGCCCTGGCGTAGCATGGGCGCGTGCGACAAGACGAGTGAGTTGCGAGCTGCCGCGCGCCAGGGTTGCCTACAGGTTCATGTCCATCTTGGGGTGTTCTTATATTGTCCACACCGGGTGAAATCCATTCCAACATGAACTTGCGCATTATCCCTTTCTTTTTGAGGCCTCACATGGGTGTGTTGTCAACCTTCTGCAACAAGGAAACAACCTGGAAGAATCCTCCGGCTTGACTTTGAGAGGGTTGTTTCACAAGGAGCCAACCAAAAGCCGTGTCCCCAGTTTCCCCGAAGCTGGTTGGATCGTTGTTTGGTGGGTTGCTTGGTTGCTTGTTTGGTTGCTTGTATAAGTGCAAAGGGATGGGACCAAACTGGTTTCAACTTGGGATCGTGCTAGGTTGACGGTTGGCCCCTGCTATGTAAGAGAAAGCTGGCTCGCGTCCCGGGATGAACACCTCCAAAGCCGAATCTAACGCCATGGCGACCCAAAAGGCACAGCCAACCTGACCAGCTCGTCTATCCGGTTCCACGTGTGAAGCAAGTGGGACTTTCCGATCAAAAGGATGGGGCCAACGAGTGAGACGCATCCCAACGAAAGGACACTTTGTCATAGGTGAAGTCGCAAAACCTCAAGATTGCTTGGACTTGAAGACTATCTTCCGATTTTGGTTGAAGTCAAGGCGTCCAAGACCCTCCAAACAGATTTGTTTGATGTCTTCGTCCACTCGCCCCAGCAGCACCCTAAAATCCACGTGAAACAACCCATTTGCCGCGATTGAACTCCAAAACGGCCCAAGCAAGATCTCAATGAACATCCAACTGAACCCCAGCAACCCAACAGAAACACCCCACCTGACACCAAACGAAGCCCACGTCCCTGACAAAGCCCGTCCGGACCGTTTGAGCATAGGCCCGGCCTTGGCGACTACGCAGGGTGGGGCGCCAAATTTTGCCGCCAAGTTTCTGCCAGTGGGTGGCTCGTTTGAAGGCCCGTTTGGGGGTTGGTTGAAAGGGAAACCCAAAGGGAACACCGACGCCATTTTGGTGGTTTCCTAAACAAAGACATGCACACACACGCACACCCAAGTTAACTTTTGCAGGTTGGATTGGTGCCAAGTTCCACCTGGGCATCAGTTGGAATGGCTGAGTGCCTGGTGCGAAGCCGGAAACTCTGGCTTTTGGAGAATCCTGTGCGTAGAATCCTCAGTACCTGAGGCTAGGAAGGAGTACTTGAGGGTTAGATGGGTGGGCGGCTAGTTCAGAGCTGATATGTCGTATGTGGCGTGTGGATGGTAGCCCTCTAGCCTTTTGCTGACTCGCCCAATATGACAGCATTGATCGTTTTTTTTTGGCAGACATCTATATGGTTGTGGCTTACATGTACCAAGGTGCCATTTTAGTACTTGTTTCTGACTCACAGCCATATGAACAGAAACACTGGGCTTCAGTCAGGCACTGAGCTTTTTCAAATTGACCGACTTCTTCTGTAACTTTCCATTTGCCTTCGATCGGACAAACTTTTAGGAGCAACGCCAGCTTCAGCTCAGGGTCTGAAACATGCCAGGAGTGGAGTGTGAGTCTGTCGAGACTCTTAGGCTTCATACAGTGTCCATGAAACAGGAGTGTGACCAATCCTCGGAAGTATATCAGGGAGAGTTGGTAGATGACACGACTCCCGGTAGATGTGGGTGAGTAAAGGGGATGACCAAGCCAACATGGCGGGAATTGAATTCGGTCTGGTTTTGGTCAGCTGAGCCACAATCAAAACCCGGGTAGATGAAGGTTAGTAAGGGATAATTCCCTCCAGAACGGTGCAGCCGCCTTTTTAGTTTCTTGCATCGTTCTGGGTAGACCATTCTAAAACCTGGTTTTGATTATGACTCGGCTGGCTCGCAACTGTATAACCAGATGCTGAAACACAATGTATTGGTGGAGACTGTCTCAGGCAACATGAACAATAGCTAGCTGCAGTGATTACCAAAGAACTGCATGGATGTCTCACGCACGATGAACATTTTGCAGAATGGGGTTGTCTCAAAATTAGGGACCCCCTCCCCCCTCCAGCAAAAAGTGAGTGTTTTCCAGCTGGTTTCCCTTCAAAACTAACCAACACAGGATAGCCTCAAAAAAAGACTAGCCACCCACATGCGCGCAGAATGCTCTGCTCGGGTGCAAGTCCCTGCAAGAGTTTCAGCGACTCGCTGGCCCAGGGCAGTGCTACCGCCGCCGCTCCCGGCGCCAGGAGTTCACGGGAGAGTTGAACTCGATGTTGAGGTTTTCCTCTCGGAGGTTTCTCAAAACATGCTCCCCCTCCGGGTCTTTAGCTTTTTCTGGGTTTTCAGTTGGTTTTAGTGGCAGGTTCCATTTCACCCACTAAAAGTTGAACTTTTAGCAGCTAGGGGACCACTGGTTTCGACGGTTCAACCAAAAGGAAACCACCTGCCTGGATGGGGTGCCCAATTTTGAGGAACACCTCTTGTGGCTCTCACAGGAACTTGTTGCAGGGGGGTCTAAGACCCCACGAATCACGTCTTGAGGTCGCTCCCTGAAGGCACCAGGAACCGCAAAAGCACACATGTTTTCTCACCCACTGATGGCCGTCCTGTTCCGTTCCCTTATTCACAGAAATGCGAAGACCAACTTTTTTTATATGGCGCTGCCTTTCAGCGCAGTCGGAACAGCTTACATCTGCGAGGTGCGCGCTACGGGACAAAATCCACAGCAATGTCCTCCTTGGTACTAACCCCGCGAGGGGTTGGGTTTGCTTCCCATTCGCCTGCAAGCGGTTTCTGTGGATGTTTGGCTTGCGCACAGAATCCAGCAAAGAAGCACGCATCGCCTTCTCGCAGGGTGAGTTGCTCGGTGTTGTCCCCGGATTGTTCATCTTGCTGTAACGGGTTATTTCAGTTTTTTGTTTGTTTGTTTTTTTCCCCAGAAACCGGTTCCAACACTTGTTGCTGTGTTGCCATCAAACTGCGGGTCGGACCTTTGAACGCATTGAGAAGGTGCTTCTTGAGGCGTGTGGCTGTTGGGTGAAGCATATGGGCTTGCATTTTTGGAGGCTCGGTACCCGTTCAAGGGTTGGGTTTTCAGGCAAAAACCGCAGGGAAGCCATCCGTTTTGACTCGAACCCATATGGTTGTGGGTCAAAACCATTGGGATCCCATTTTGGGCTAGGTGAATTAACCACCCATTTTAGAACCTATTTTAGTGGGGATTGGGTCCCGTTCACTGGCGGTACGATTTGGCTTTTGACCCATGGCCATGTGGGAATTTACCAAAATGGGAACCGCTTCAGTGGGGATGGCCTTGCTTCAGGAGTGCAGCTGCCCAAACACCAAGACCAACTTCGTACGACGGGTTTTTCCTCCTTCAGCAGTCTTCAGAAGCACGCACGTAGCAGTCAATTAGTTGTTTTTTCCTTTTTTCCCTTTTTCCCGTCTTATATACGGTATATACATATATCTAGAATTACATATATATATATATACATATATATATATATATATATACACATGTTTATTGCTTAAGGGGAATGCTCTCAGGATCTGGCGCAGATGTCGTGCGCCTGGCATGGTTGGCCTCTTGGAAAGGGTGCAAATTGAAGCCTCGGGGGTTTTAGCCGTCCGGTTCCTTAGCTTGTTAGGTGGTTAGGTCAGGGCATGTCTTTTTTCCCCTCCCCCCCCCCCATGGTGCGGGAGCCATCCATCCCCAAAAAGCTTTTTTGCCTTTCGTGTTTGAGGATTTACGTATTTCACCCACAAGTTAGTCACTTTTAGCCCGGAAGCGGCGGGGGGGGGGGGGTTGGGCCGTGCCATGGACTCCACGGAGTCTTTTTGGCAGATTGGGAGCTCGATCCAGACAGATCTCTGAGTCGCCGTGGAACCTGAACTTGGTGTGAACTTTGAGGGACCCGGAATTGACATCAGAATTAGGGGATGAAGATATCCACCAGCCACTTTTGAGATAACTCTCGAATTTCGAGCCACTCATGACCATTGAGGGTCATTTCCTACGACTCCCACGGCTCCTGAATTCATATGAACACTTCAAAAAGGAGTGTCAAAAAGCCACCTATGCAGGTTCTAGGTTTGTGTTAGACAGTTGGTTTATGCCCAGGGCTCCTTGCTGACTGCGTCGAATCTCCGCGAGCAGTGGGCTTC